TAAAGACCATCCCTTGATGAACTTAACCACACCTTGGTGAGATAACCTCCATTGGAACACAATAGCTCCCAGCTACTTGACCACCTGAGATTAACCACACCCCTTGAGGAATGAAGAGCACTCCCTTGGTGAGCTAAGTCACCCCTTGGTGAACCAAGCCACCCCTTGGTGAACTTGTCCACCCTTGGGTGAACTTCTCCACCCTTGGGCAATTAAGCCACACATGCTGTCTTGCTTCCCCTTCCCTTTAATAGACAAGCCTTTGGACCTTGGAGAAGGCTCCATCTTGTTCTCCCACGTTCTGCCCTTGGATTCCAGACTTGGACCACAACTTGGGCAGACCAAAAGCTAGTCAATAATAGCTGCAAACTCAGCCACCCTATCTAGAGCCATAGGGTAGGTACTCATTGAAACAAGTCAACCTTTGCTGCTACCTTGCATCCTAAATGTGAGGTAGAGGGCTGCAACACTTGCACGTTCCCACTCTCAGCCACCCACCTAAAGCATAGGTTAGGCAAGTTGGAAGTAAGTCATCAATGCATGCACCCTTTAGCCAACCTATCTAGAAACCTTTGATACAAGTTATCAAATAGCCAAAGTGTTCTCCCCAACTTTCCAGCTGCTTGCCACCTTCTAATATATCAGAAGTGATCCATAAAATCCTTACAAGTCGGTAGAAAGTGGTAGCACACCAAGGAGGACTTGAAAACGCGTAGGAAAAAACAGCACAGCACGTCTGGCGACCGGTCGCGGATACCCAGCAACCGGTCGCGGATACACTGATGACACCTTGCTGACACCTTACGACCGGTCGCGGATACCTTGCGACCGGTCGCTCCCTGCGATTTTTCCAGATTGCAATCTGCTTCTAAACGACCGGTCGCCCAAACCTTGCGACCGGTCGCTCACTCCTTCACTTGCATACTAAATGTGAGCCATTTTTCCAACAATTAGATCTTATCCTTTCTCTTGAATTTTCATTTATGAAAAACATATCAATGTTCATGGCTTAAGATACTTGGAAGAAGTTTTGTTTTGAATTTAAACAACCACCATAGACTTCCGCTGCGATTAATTTGATTAAATGCATGTTTAATATTCAAATGAACTTTGGAAAAATGTTTTGAAATTCCTTCATCCACTACCAAAAAGTCTTCTCTAATGTCCACTGTTCGGTTCATTTTTACACATGATTTTTCATGTTATTCACCTATTATTTTGAGTTAGTTCTTGACATTTTATAGCTTTTTACTTCCTTTTTGTGTTTTCTTAAAAAAACAACACAGCAACACTGGCGACCGGTCGCAGATACATTGCGACCGGTCTCTGATACCTTATGGATACATTGCGACCGGTCGCGGATACCTTGCGACCGGTCGCTTTCTGCGATTTCTCCAGCCTTCGAATCTATGTAAAAACGATCGGTCGCCCAAACCTTGCGACCGGTCGCTCACTCCTTCACTTGCATACTAAATGTGAGCCATTTTTCCAACAATCTCCACCTTGGCGAACCATTTAATCACCCCATGAACCATTGTTGACCTCTAGAACCTCTTCAACCTCTTAGAAATCGTTCTAGTAATTTCCAAGAGCTCCACCATGGCAATACACCTCATTAGGTAGGAAACCGACACATGTGAAGACACCTTGAAAAACGCATGGAAAAAACAGCACAGCAACACTGGCGACCGGTCGCAGATACATTGCGACCGGTCGCGGATACCTTGCGACCGGTCGCTTTCTGCGATTTCTCCAGCCTTCGAATCTGTGTAAAAACGACCGGTCGCCCAAACCTTGCGACCGGTCGCTCACTCCTTCACTTGCATACTAAATGTGAGCCATTTTTCCAACAATAAAATCCTTGCAAGTCGGTAGAAAATGGTAGCACACCAAGGAGGACTTGAAAACGCGTAGGAAACCAGACAGCACAGCAAACTGGCGACCGGTCGCGGATACATTGCGACCGGTCGTGGATACCTTATGGATACATTGCGACCGATCGCGGATACCTTGCGACCGGTCGCTTCCTGCGATTTCTCCAGTTTCGAATCTGTGCAAAAAAGACCGGTCGCCCAAACCTTGCGACCGGTCGCTCACTCCTTCACTTGCATACTAAATGTGAGCCATTTTTCCAACAATAAAATCCTTGCAAGTCGGTAGAAAATGGTAGCACACCAAGGAGGACTTGAAAACGCGTAGGAAACCAGACAGCACAGCAAACTGGCGACCGGTCGCGGATACATTGCGACCGGTCGTGGATACCTTATGGATACATTGCGACCGATCGCGGATACCTTGCGACCGGTTGCTTCCTGCGATTCCTCCAGTTTCGAATCTGTGCAAAAAAGACCGGTCGCCCAAACCTTGCGACCGGTCGCTCACTCCTTCACTTGCATACTAAATGTGAGCCATTTTTCCAACACAAAGTTGATCTCAACTTCTGTAATCATCTTAAATGCAGACTTAAACTACCTTAAATTCCTTGAACTTAAGTGATTACATATAAGATTACAAGTTTATCAAAAAAGCTAAAAACATTAGCTAAACAAAACCTAACAACTAGTTAGTTTTGGGAAAACTCATATAAAAAGAGAGCAAACACATAAATTAGTATGAGACCACTGACTACACACACACCACTACCTACCTAGGCCAGTAATAAAAAAACAAAGATGAGTTCATGCATGACGCTTGACGGAAGTCAATTATTGAAAATATACTCAAAGAATTAATTAATAGCCATGTCTCTTCTGAATAATAATGAAGGAGAAGCAACTGCACCAAGATGGTCTGGGGTTGGAGAAGATGGTTTGATAATCTCTTTGGAGCTTACTTCAACTTCAGCCTTCATGATCGTCTGCTTAAGTTCAAGTACCTTGGTAACAAAACAATGAGAGGGTGTGTATGTTTAGCTGTGATTGTGATTGTCTGTGGTTTGTGTTGCTCTTCAAGGAGACTGATATATTGTCTCATGGTTGCCACAAAAACGTAATTGGATCATGGGAATGATATATATGATAGTATATCTTTAGTCCAACGTGTTTTTTTTCTTGGATGGTGTAGTCTCTGTGTTTTAGTGTCTCATTTTTTGCAAACAATATTAGAATACATATATGATTAGTATCTTTAGTCCAACATGTTTTTTCTTGCAGAAATGAATCCATGTCATATGCCACATCATTCAATTTAATTCAATTTTTTTAATAAACCATTTTAATTCATTTTACTTTAATATGTTTATTTCTCGAACCCTACCATTGCTCATCCTTCTCCATCCTCCACCACCATAACCCTCCATTGCCGCCCAATATCACATCCATTTGTAGTCATCATCACCAGCATAGTGGCCCTTTCATCTGATTTTAGTAAATAAAAATTTTCATAAAAGATTAGATTTGACATTTTCTTAAAAGATTCAAGGTTTTTTTTCTTCATAAAAGAGTAGATTTGATCAAAGAACACGGAGGCCTTTCAACCCAAACCAAGGGCATAAGCTCCTCACCAAAAAAATAATTTGCAACTTCTTTCACTTAATTCCAGACATGAAACCCAACACCATCTTGAGAAGTTCATGGCTAGCGATGGTTTTGAGAAATAAACATCAAAATTAAATGAATTAAAATGGTTTACCATAAAAATTGAATTAAAATGAATGATGTGGCATATAACATGGATTGCCATGTTATCTTCCATCAGTTGTTATTAAAAAATTGGTAAATAAGTTGGTGCCCCTAGTGTTACTGTTTTAATAATTAGTGCTAATTTAGAAAGAAAAAAACACATAAAATTGCACGCCTCTTCCTTTTATTAATTTTGTTTTAATAATTAGTGCTAATTTAGAAAAACAAAAAACAAAAAATTGAAATATATATATATTAATTTTTTTCTAAGAAAAAAAAAAGCTAATTGGAAACCCTCCCGCCTTGAAATATGTTGAGCTGGACACCGAAGGCAAACTCATTAATAATATCATCAGGTTCAAATGGGAGGAACTTGTTGAGCTCATCAAGAATTGGATTGTTGTGGAAATCAGAAAGTTTTCACTGACTTGTGCTTCAAGAAAGGGAATGCCCGCTAGTGGGTAGCAAAGGGTTAAGACCTCGGCTAAAGAGTTTTTGAGGTGGCTGGATATTTCAGTAATTTTGGGTTGTGTCTTGGCATTGTGTTCATAGAAGAGGAGCAAATGGTTGTAGATTGGGGGAGCTAACTGGTCAAGGAAGGAAAATTGGTATAGCGGTGGAGATGGTGAGGGGTTGGAGAATATGGTTAAATCTCCATGGAGATCAATTCAACTTCAACCTTCATTCTAATTTTCTCTACAAATGATCAAACTTGATCGAGTTGTGCCAAAAATTTGAAGACTTAAATATGCTTGTATTGTGATCAAGCTTATACACGTAGGAAGTAGTGATGGATTCAGAAATTTTTTAGGGGAGGTGCAAGAGTGACAACATTTAGAATCTGACCGTCATGATTTGTTGCTGACCATACTCTTTATGGTTCATACAGCCACTAATCACAAGAAGAGCCTCTAATTGGTGAAAGACAAGCAATTACAAAATTTCCCAAATTGGCTTTCAATCTTTAAAATTGCAACTTTCAAAAATTGAAATGCAAGGTTGAATCTTATCTTACACTAATCACAGAAACAAAGCAAAAGGTGAATTTTTTTTTTTAATTTTATAAATTTGGTCAGCACAGATTAGAGCAACTTAATTAAGATTTGGATCCGAATACCCATCAAGTAAACAGAGTTGTTGTTCTGCAAATCCTTTCATCAAACTGAATTGAATTCAAATGTGGAATGAGGAAGACTTTTTCTTGAACAGCCAACAAAGATTTCAAAGACAGATCTTACAAAAAAATGCCTCAAGGATTAGATTTGTAGAAAATGGACACACAAATTTTCTAGTGATAGCTCGACCTTCGCATAGAGATGGAGCCATTTGTGTGATATATGCGAGATGAGTTCGAATCAAGGTAATGATTTATGACTCTTCTGATGCAATGCATTGAAATGTTAAGGAAAAGCCTAGGTAGTGTTTGAGGAAAAGTCTAAAAGAAAAAAAATAATTGAAATGTTAAGGGTCAGAGAGGTAGTTTGCGAAAGCTGGATGTGATTTGAGTTAATGCCTGAACATATATTTCTTTTTTCTTTTTTTTTTAGAGTTGGTTTCAGATGTATCTTAATCATTGTTCATTTATGAAAAATTGGGCATGGTTTGCTGACTCCCTTTTTCCTAAAAATTTCTGGTGGTGCATAGATCTTTTTGCTAAGGTTAGGTTGATGATCTAGTGGTGACAGATTTTCTGGTGTAGCTTGGAACAATTCAGACTTTTGGGTGAGCGATAGTTGTTTTTGTAAAGTTGGGTCAACACTAGTTGTAGTGTCCTCTTCAACAACATCCTCCTCCTCATCCCTTGTCTTGACTTCACTTTCTGCACCTTTGAAATCAAGCACCCTTGATGATGAACTTGCATGCAAGAAGAACTTGCTATGACTTCCTTTCCTCATATGTGTCAAACATCAACTTATTTGCACACACATGATATGAGCACCCGGAATCACAAAATCCAACTTGAAGTAGAACTTGAACCCTTACCCGAAGAGCTAGCCATGACTTCCCCGTTACTCTCCTCCGTAACCGTCAAGAGTTCATCACAAATGTCATCATCACATACATTTGCTGAACTTCCAGCTTTCTTCATCTTCTCTTTCCATATTGGACAATTCCGCTTCCAATGATCCTTAGACCCACACTCAAAGCACCCTTCATTGTCCTTAGACTTAGAATTCCTCTCGTTGCTTCTCTTGCCTTCACGCTTGCTTGACCGATTCCCTGCGAATAGACCCGTGCTGTTTGTATGCTCTTTTAATTTCCTTTTTTTTTTCCTTGATCTTACACTTGAGTTTTGGGTTGTGACAATGGTTACTTATGAGTTAGTTAGATTTGGGTCTATCTTAGGTGGAAATGATTTATTAATTTTGATTTATGTGAGTACTTTTTCCTTTCAGGTTTGTTTGATATTGGGGGTCTTGTTTATTCATTGGTGAAAAGATGAGGGGAGCTGTGATGGTGGCCATTGCTGCTACAATTGGTAGCATTCTACAAGGATGGGATAATGCTACAATCACAGGTACTTATCAGCTGCCAAATTATATATCAGTTTGTTCTAAAGTTTAAAGTTAGAGATGTTTGAACTAAAATTTCAAGCGGCCTCCATTTTCTACTGATATAAGCATTTTGGGCAGGCTGATTTTAGTAAACGAATTGAAGAAACATAGAAGATTTGGAGCTGGGGTGTCATGGGTTGATGTGCTTGGGATGGGATAGTAACTTAGCAAAGAGGGGTATGAAGAGAGGCACAGACCATGCGAGGAGCACTTGAGGAGCAAACGGTGCAAAATGAAGAATAGAGGAAGAAAAATGAGCAACCTGAAATGGAGATGTTGAGACTTGGTGAGGAGCAAATATACTGGACTATTTCATCCAAAATTCTTTTATTTATTTATTATTATTATAAATTATTAAATAGAAATCAATATTGAACGTGCACTAATTTCAAATTAGTGCACTTTTTTTTAAAAACTAATATTTGTGAATGGGGACTGATGGCTTTAACTGTATTATATAAATAATTTTATTAATGAGTTAATGATACGTTGAGGACTGATACGCAACGTGAATAGTACAAGATGGCTCACTATGTGATTGATGCGTCCCTATTTTAAAAGAAACCATTCCAATATCAGTAGGCAAACTTGAAGCCATTCAACATGGCTTGGCTTAATTGAATGGCTTGTATCTTAAAAATGTATTTCTTTAAGGGAAAATAGGGAAGGACTGACTCACTAAATGGTGCCCTATAACCAATAGCAACCCCAAACTAGGACACTGATACAACAATGGTGGCTGCATAGTCTCTATTGCTAGTGGAGACAAATAATTGTCTCAAAAATCAACTTAGGGGACAAATCATAATCAGTAGGTAGTGTGAGTTTTTTTAGTAGTGGTTGCTATGTCTGTTGTATTGTATGTTCTCGTTTTGTTTTGTTTTTTTTTCTTTTGCCTGGTCCAAAACGACGTCATTTGGACCAGGACATTAATAAATAAATAAAACAGGCACGCAGCGCAGCAAATAGAAGGCCTCTTTGAGGCATTTCGTCAAACATGTTGTGTGCACCAGCAGAGGGGAACATTCCGACTTCTCCACCAATGGTAGGAAGTCTTTATTCAATCACCACAAACAAATGAAATCTTTGGTTTTTTTTTTTTTGGTCTGAACCACGAGGTGGTCCTGGATGGGCCCCAACTATGGGTGGCACCTTTAAGCCTTAACCACAACCCAGACTAATCCCCGTTTGGTTTTTTTTTTCTTTTGGTAGATAAAGCACGTCTTTGTTTAATTTTCGAATAGCTGAAAAGATTAAAGCATGAGATAATAAAGTAAACATACCCTAATAACATAATATTTTTCTCTGAAATTGGACTGAAAAAGTATATGTATATGTTGCGTTGCCTATAAAGAAAATAGAATAGTCTGAGATTTATAATGATTTCAATTTCTTAATAATATACTTTTATTAGCCAATATATTTTTTCAAAAACCGAATTAGGTTAACGAAATTTGGCCATGACATCCTCCTCCAAGCTAACATAAGCCTCCATTTCTTCTAGCCCAAACTACGTAGCTCATGACTCATGCCAGCACTTAGAAATAGATAAATATATCAAGCTGGTTGACTGATTAGAAAAATACCGCGTATCGATATTTCAAGATAGTTGTCAACAACAATTACTTTGCACCCAATTAACCACCAGGGGGAGACTTGTTGTGTTTATGTGTCATTAGCTTTTCTCATTCATGTGGAGTTAGTTTTGGAAACTTGTGTAATAGTATTTGTGAATTTGTGATATGAATGAATCTTCACCCAAATCTTAGCTGATATTAATGAATCTTCACCGTAAATGATTCTTATTATAATACATGCCGCAGAATTTGTGAATCACAATTAAAGTGAACAGACTTATTAGTTATATAGGGAAATTTGTAACACAAACATATCGTTACACACGGGGAAATTTATTTCCTTAGCTTAGCAGCACCCGACCGGTTGGAGCAACATAGGAGAGTAACTCGCTATCACATTCAAACTTAGCCATGACTTCCTCCTCCAAACTAACATATGCCTCAATTCCACCACCCTCTTTAGTGTCCATGAAAAGCACAAGGTTCTTGTAGGTGAGTGCCGGTGAGCCGACCCATGTAGGCCTCCCCCAACCAAAATCATTGTCATAAAGAGGAAATCTACAATAGCTACTAAAGTTAGTAACGTACCCATCTCTCCTCTCTTAAAACTATCACTTTGTTTCTTCATCATACCCAAGTGCTCATCACCTTGCTTTTGTAATTTCTTCACGTACTCATTGTCTATCTTGCCTATTGCTTCTCGTACCACCGGGATCAACATGCCGTGACCACATTCTTCATCGCCACCACCACCACTACTTGGAATTTGCAGTGGACCTGTCATGGAGATACTAAAAAGATTTCCAAATGAACTTTGAGGAAATGGTGGATCACACCTCGGACGCAAGTTCACAGCATGGACTACCCTATACAACTTATTCATGGTACAATCCTTTGTAGCCGCCACAAACCGACTCCATACAAAAGAGGATAAGGTTTCAACACGTGTTGGGCGTTTCTTCAAGTGCATATTGTGTTCATATCTTGCTCGGAGGTTCTCTATTTTAGAGGCATCAAACACAAACCGCTTTGTTACCCTGTCCCTTGTGATGCCAACGCCGCCATCATATGCAATATTAAACTCCTTTGGTGGGAAGAGTGTGGATGAAATAAACTCTGGAGGGTTTATGTTGCTTTGTCTCCACGAGCAATAGCTGCCCAAATTTTGCTGAACGTGAAATACGACAACCCATCAGCAATCTTGTGAGAAATGCATTGACCAATTGCAAAGCCTCCACATTGAAATATGTTGAGCTGGACCCCTAAGGGCAATGAATTGGTAATATCATCAAGTTCGAAGGGCATGAACTTGTTGAGCTCACCAGGGATAGGGTTGTTGAGAACATCAGAGAGTGTGCAATCCAGTACTCGAGCTTCGACGAAAGGGATGCCCTCGTCGTTGCAATGTATGAACTGGTTGTGCTCGATACGTCCGGCTAGAGGGTAGAAAAGGGTTAAGACCTCGGATAATGAGTTCTTGAGGTGGTTGGAGATTTCAGTGATGTTGAATTGTGTCTTGGCATTGTGTTCATAGAAGAGGAGCAAAGGGTTGTAGACTTGGGGAGCTATTTGATCAAGAAAGGAGAATTGGTAGTGGCGAAGAGGGTCAGGGGTTGGAGAAGATGGTTTGATAATCTCTTTGGAGATCACTTCAACTTCAACCTTCATTAATCTTTCCATAAGCAACTCGATAGCGTTAATTAGTAAGAAAAAGGTTGTGTTTGATTAATTTTGAGGGGGTGGTTCTACATGTATCAACACCTATATATATAACACAGAGAGTGAGAGATAGATGAGAAAAAAAAAAGTTTGTTCAACTATAATATCATATCGAGAGAATGTCATTGATTTCTTTTGGCAGACCTACATAGAGCCAACACTTAAATTTCTTCTTCAACCATGTAAGCTACAATAAATAAGACATTTTGGCTAACAAATAAATAAAACCTTCAAGATTTTAACCCAAATTTCCCTTATTCAAAATATCAAGGCCTCAAAGTTGACAAAATATCAAGACCCATAAATAACTTAGTTTGTCTTCCCTCACAAATGTATTTTGTGTTCATAAAATAAATAGTTATATAAATATATAATATTGCTACATAAATAAATATTATAATGTAATACTTTGAGAAGATGCTGGGTCCGCCACTGAAAGGGTTCTATATGATGATAAGGGATGAAAGAATGCATAGTAGCTTCAACTTCGTGATGCATGCATAGTAGCTTTCCACTTTTCGATCATATATACAAAATAAAATAGAATAACGTGGAAGCTGGATCAGCAGTGACCTTCTTGTGGGGGAAGTTCTCAATGAGGACTTATTAATCACCGGCCAATAAACTTATGGGGGAAGTTCTCATTGAATCATCCACTAACCCTACACGAAAGCTAAAAAAAAAATCATGGTATACACTTTCGTGTACTAGCTACACCAAATTCTAAATAATAAATAAAACATAAAATAATTCCAAGCGGTCGCATTGACCAATTTGATTTTTGGCTTTGTGCAAGAATTTGATTGCATTAAAACTGGTAAAGATTATAATAGAATTGGTAATTCGTATATTGATTAATATTTCAGAATGGGGTACAACACCTTTATACAAATACAATAGCCAGTTAAGATGCTGAAAACTAGCCTAAATGAGCTATTCCTTAATGTACACGCCTATATAAAAGGAAGGAAATAAACTAAATATCTGTACAGGTCAATGATCAATATTCATAATCAATCACGTTGATTTAGTTGGGGTTTTACGCTCCTCAACAGATTACGTTCTTGCTGGAAATGATCACAAAACTAGCGATGACTTTTGTAGATTTTTTGTCCAGCCACTCATCAGAAACTCGGAAATCATATTCACTGGGAATCACATTGACTTTTGTAGACTTTCACGGTGTAACTTTCTGTTTGGGTCGCCATAAAATCTTATTCAACAAGAATATGGAACCAATAGTTATGGATTACTTTGAGTTTGACTTGGCCTTTACTTTTCTTAATAGAATCAAATATGGGTTTTAGAGCTTTTTGATTTTTTTTTTTCTTTTAATTTCTTAGTGACCAAACAGCAGATCTCTCAGGAAATGTTGGGATTTTGAATTTCTTTCACAATTTTGGGTTTGTTTGAATATTGGATGGTACACATTTTTTCCGGAAAGCACATGAGAACATTGATAAGAGTCATAAGACGTTGAAGGCTGCGGAGGTTATAGGTGTGTTGAGATTTTTTCCTAAGTCCTTAGAAGTCATTTTACAAAGGAGTAAATTTGTCTTTAAATTTTTAAAGATAAAGTGGGTGGGAAAATATGACAGGTGGGTGGAAATAGCAGCACTCATCTATAGAGGAAAACAAAGCGTACACACGATCATCTCTAGAGATTCTATATAATTTTAGAATAGATAATTAATTAATGGGCTAGCTATAGTCTCCCCATACTAACAACCTAGGAATATAGAGTTCGGTTTTTTTATTTATAAATGAACTAGCTAGACATTAATTAATTACCTATTCTAAAATTATATATATAGAATCTCTAGAGAGGATCGTGTGTACGGTTTGTTTTCCTTTATAGTCTCCCCATACTAACAACCTAGGGATATAGAGTTTGGTATTTTTTATTATTATAAATGAACTAGCTAGGCATCGTGCCGACTTGGATTTAAGATGACATAATCATATTTTTGTTTGTCAACCTGATATCATGTTAATTAGAATGCGAGCATTCAATCCAAAATCAATTGATAATGGTTGAAGGGGTCCAATATGTTTAAGCTCCTTA